TGCAATCTACTACTCAACCATGTCGTAGCATTTTCAATTATAAACAATATGGTGTGAAGTGTACAATCAATAATGCCCTACTCCCAAACTACTTATTTTCAGGGATAATTATCCATAACAACCCAATTAACTCTAATTTAACTAACTAATTCACAAAACTAAAACTTGTCTTTACCAATTTCCTTCGCATTACTCAATTTCCCAAGCAAGGCTTTTGTCTCAAATATTTTATGGCTGCATCTAACGTCTCGTTAGACTGCCTACGTACCCTAAATAGGGATCAAGCCATTCGTAGTTCATATAGGTACTTCAAGCATTCACAATAATTATATGAAGGTAATATACCTAATCAATTTAAAAGTGTCGATAGAACTCTCAATAATATGCACAATAAAAAGGAAAAGATCCACTCACCTGGAGTCCACACTATACTTCTCTAGCGCACGCATCGAGGCGTCCTGAATGATCGGTCCCTGTGGTCAATTATCAAATCACATCTCAGAACTCTTATCTGTAGAATACGTAATTCACATAAAACACAACCTCAATGACATTCTAAAATAATTTGATACCCATTGACCACAAGTCAACCGTCGATCAAAGATCGACGGTAGGGTTTACAACCCTGTATAACTTGACCCGGAAGATCCACATATCAGATTTCCAATCCGCAACTCCCAACGATCCAAAATATGTTTCTAGAATAACATATTAAAATTTCGTTACGATCCAACGGTCAGATCTCCGCCAATTGCCTAAAACAAGTGGCCGTGAACATTTATTTTACTAACTTACAAATCCAATTCAGGAAGATCCGTAAGTCGGATTCCCGATCCGTAAATTCCTATGATCTTTAAATATTACGTATTATAATGTATCCAATTTTGGTGACGATCCAACGGTCGGATCATCGATTCACATTTTTATCAAGTAACGTATCATAACGAATTTAGATTCCAACGATCAACCTACGTCATTCAAATGACAAAACTGAATTCAAAACATTCGACATAGCCTAAAAATAGCATTGGCGGCTCACTGGCCACGCGCCGCCGCACGCGCCGCCGTGGGTGGCGGTCGGCCGCCCCGACTCGCCGGAAAATCCAACTATTTCCAAAAATTCTCAAACTTCACAGAAATGAAGATCTCAGTGAGTGGAGCAACTTTCATACCTGCCACGAAGTCCAAAAGTGGACGGAAGATAGTCAATTTTGCCCACAAAGCCGACGGGTGGTCCAACGGGGTCAAGGTTGGTTGGGTTTTGCTCCTGGGATGATGGGCTACAAAGCCCAAGTGGTGGCATCGGCCATTGCTTTGCCGATTTGCCGGAAAATCAAGAAGGGTGGCCGGAGCACCATTGATTTTCGTCAACTTTCGTGGCCTCAAACCTCCACATCCCATGGTTAATCAAGGTGGTTCTTGGGTGGGTTTTGTAGAGGGGAATGAGAGCTTCAAGATGGTGGTGGTGGCATCGAAAAACTCCACCGGAGTTGGCCGGAATCGGCCTTGGAAAATGGGCACCCGCGGTGGGTGCAGGTGGACGAAAACCCACTTCCTTTTTTTTTTTTTTTTTTTTTCCTTTTCTTTCTTCCAATTCTGATTGGGCTTTTTCCCCACAAGGGGGGAATTTAATTTAAATAAACGCTAAACCTTGAATAACCAATTTCGAACGTCTGTAACTATACCATTATAATCCGGACTTGCAAACAGCTTGCACCTATACGTTCGTACCAGTAAGTACTACGAGGATATGCTAAAAGAATAAGTCCCACATCTCTCGAGTCGATGGTCAACGGAAGTCAAAATCCTTGCCTCTAGGGCAATTTTGTAAATTCACGCTTTTAAAATAAAATAAAAACGTAAAATTTGGAACGGGTTGTCACATTCATGGAGCATTTTTAAGTCCAAATGGCATAACAAGCCACTCAAAATGTCCTTCTAGACAAGTAAAAGTTGTCCACTCAATTGATTCTTCTGCTAATCATATTTGTCAAAATCCTGATTTACAATCAAATTTGGTAAAATATTTACTCGCTTGAATTTTATTTATAAGCTTATCCTTATTTGGTAACTTATAACTATCTTTATGTGTATTATCATTTAATCTCTTATAATTATAAACTATTCTAACCTTACCTCTCTTTAATTCTGAATGTTTTCTCATAATAAATGTTGTTGATCTATGTTTAGACTTGGAAGGTCTAATTACTTTTAAATTTAATAACCCTTTTATTTGCTGCTCAAACTCTTGTTCATCTAATAAACTACAAGGCATATCAGCTGTCTTAATAGTTAAATCCGGATTAATTATATCTAATTTTGCTAATATTTTATTTTTATTCCAATGCAACTGAGGGTCTTCTCCTATAATTCTAGTTTGTTTCTTCTAAACTATTTGGTCTATCTTACTGTAATATTTCTATACTGGTTTTTTCTTCTAAAATCGAATATTCATGTTCAAATATAACTTCATCAAACTCTTCTATATTATTATGCTCATCATCTTCTTTTGAGTTTTCTAAATAATAACCATCTTGACTACTAGGTTCTTCTATACTTATGCTTTTATATGCTTCTACAACATTACTTTGGTCAATTATTGTAATACCTCTTTCGAAAAATGTTATGCTAGGATTCATAAATAAAAAAGCTTGTAAACTTTTCAAAAAATTCAAATCTAAAATGAATGGGTATGATTCTACTGGTGAAACAAATGTTAATGGTAAATTAAATTGTTATTTTTCTAGTTTGATAGACTCATTATTAATACAATATGTTAAGTAAATTGGCCTCTCATCAAATTGTGTTATTCTCACTGGTTTTGCTAATTTTTGTCTATATTTTTTTGGTACTAATTCTTCTCTTATGACACTCTTTGTACTCCTTGTATCTATCATAGCTGTTGTTTGTATCTTATGTTCTTTTGCTAATTCTATTTCACAATTTATGGTAATTAAGGAACTATTTTTGGCTTTTCTATACTATAAACAATGTTTCCTAATATTTCAGTATTTTCTTATGATTCTGCTGAATTAATTTCTAATAACTTAGGTTTTCAAAAAACTTAATGAGTCTTGCATGTTCAAATTCGATCTGGACGCCACAGACAGGTTGCATGTTAGATATACGTTCTATGTTGGGGATTCCAAGTAGGGCATACTTTAGAAAAACCTAACCTTCAAAATATGCATGTGTAATTCATAAGGAATTAGAAGAACTACGTAGGATTGTTAAGGGGACGGCGGAACCCTAGGCTTTTACAATTTGGTTTTCAAAACTATTTTCCTTTGTTTTCTTTTCTTTGCCAATTTATTTAATTGTTTTTAATTAAATTCGTTTTTATTATTTTTAAATTCAAAATCAACCTCTTCCAATCTTTGTTTTCAAATAATTAATTAAGATTTGATATTTACATAAATTATTCATTCAATCCCTGGGGAAAACGACCTTGCTTGAGCCGTTTATATTGCAACTACCTTGCTCTCTTGCAAGTATTTTTAAGTGTTTTTATCCCTACTTTTGCAGGTGGTAAAATTCTTATCAAGAAATTGGCGCCGTTGCCGGGGATTGTTTTAAATAATTTGTGTTTATCAACTCTTAGTTAACTATTTTTGTATATATCTTTTCATTTACTTGATTTTATTATTTTTTGTATTTTTTTTATTTTTATTTTTGTTACAATTTGTGCAACAATGGACTGTGTTCCTCTTCCTGGATTCAATATACAACCAGGAGGACCGCCTTTATGGGTCACATTTGCAGAATGGGGTTTCTATGGATTTAACCCTACAATTTGTGCTCTTTGCTATTTGAAGACCCATGATATTTTGCAGTGTCCCGAGAGAGAGTATTTTCATGAGTTTGTCCAGAAGCATATCGATATGACAACCGACTCAAAAAGGCATTGGAACAATCCCCATTCAGAGTTCTACACTCCAAGTTTGAAAAAACATCTTGAGCAGTATTTCGAGAAATTTAATGTGCCACAAAAGCTTTCGATGGAAGACAAACTCTCTAAATTGTTGGAATCAACTGAGTTGTACGTTGAAAGAACTAATCAAGAATTTCAGATTCAACCATTAATAAACTATGGGAAACACTATGATGATGAAGAGGAAATTGGAGCAGAAACGGAAGAGCAATCTGTCAGCCAATCATGCCCAAGGGAGGAAACACCACCTGTTGATCGTGAAACAATTTCCGCACAATCTTCTCCTCCCCAAGTTTATATGTGCCACCAGAACCCTTCCCAACAGGGCTGCACGAATGCACAAGAATTGATATGTTAGAAGCTGTTCATTCAAAATCAGTATATTAGACATCATATGATCAGCTTTTGACTACTATGACCATTTTGGATTCGGAGCAACCGGCTACTGATCAGAAAATTTGGGTTGCTGAATTGGACACGCAAACATCACAATTCATCAAATTTAAAGAAAATCAGGATCAATTCCGTGACAGCCAAATTCCTCGTAGAGAAATTCTGCCAGTGTAGAGGTTGTGGGTGTTAAATACAAAGTTCAAGGCAGCTTGACGAAAACATAAACCTCACTGGAAATAGCCTTTTTTAATCACAAAGATTCATTCACATAGAAGGGCAATTATGAAGAATTCAACCACTGATAAACAACAACTCATTTCATACCTATTGTTGTCGTATGATGCTATCAGGAAGTGGTTAACTCTAAGGGAACAAGTGACGTGATCTTCAATTCTTTCCTCTACATTTAGCTATAGACGCTAACTAAAGCGCTAATTGGGAGGCAACCCAATTTTTCTAACTCTTTTCTTTTTATTTCATTTATTTTATTTTCCTGTTTTTATTCCTAATTACAAAAATTACAAAAAAATAAATAAATATCAGAAAATTGAAAAAAAAAATTTAGTTCTTGTTATTTTTCTTTACTTATCTAATTAGGTTTTTGATTTGTGATTGTAGGCTGTATTCGGAACTCATTTGATCCATTCATCTCAGTATGCATTCAACCATCCATTCATCACAACAAAATTCATCATCACATTCATAAGAAATTAAGAATATTCATGGGAGTCAAATTCAACACAAATGCAAGCACAGGATACAGAAGGAGCACGGATGAGGTACATGGATACTCACAGTGGAGATGCTGAGAAGACCTCTATGCTAATGGATCCCTTTCACTCTTTCACTCTCTCACACTTCATTCAAAATATAATTACATTGAAGTTTGAGGGTGGGATCCAAGCAACACAATGGGGAGTACATTCATCTAGCCAATACGTAGATTGACCTCATGCACGGATTTTTGGGCTTTTGCATCACTTCTTGGTTGAACCTACAAGCACAGAATACATAGTATTAGATCAGAGAATTTCGTCATATCAATGGGCCCATGCATCAAGTTCAGAATGGAGTTCATGCAACTTCTGGTCATGAAATCCGTAAGAAAAAGGGAGGTATTTACCTTGTTGTGCACTGGGACTTTGATTCGATGGATTAGAGCTTCGATTTGCAGAGACATGGAGATTTGGGAATAAATGACGGAAATCCAGCTATGGAGGCACGGATGGGTATTTGTTTTTGAGTTTAACAAATCCAGGACCATTGGAAGATTTTGGAATCGCTAGAGAGCAGCGATTTTGTGTTAGGGTTTGAGAAGAAGAGAGAGGAAGAAAGCTCTCATGGCTCTGGGCTCGAGGCTATAGAGAAGAGGGGAGAAAAGCTCAACAGCCAGGGTGTGAAAAATGAGGAAATGAGCAATGGAATGCTGAAAAGCTTAAATAGGGTTTCTATATCGTGTGGCTTCATCAGTGTTGTCCCTGCGAGTTCCGTGTGTGCCAGCAAGCTGGCAGGTTGCGGGTTCGACTCTCCAAAGCACTGAGATGGTCATTTCTTTTTCATTATTTATCTAGCGCATATTCTCTCTGCACCAGGTCCTGTCTTCGAACCCAGGTGTGTCCATTCCCTTTATTTATTTATTTATTTTTATTTAGTTTTTGTTTTGTTTCTTATTTTGTATTCTATTTCTTTTATGTTTTGTTTTATTTTATTTTCTAAAAACTTTTATTTCTTTATTTGTGTCGTATTCTTTCTAGTCAAGTTATAGTTTATGTATTCTTTAGTTTATTTTTCCTCTATTTTTCACACCTTGAGGACAATGTGTGATTTAAGTTTGGGGGTGGGAAATAAGAATTTTTAGATTTTTATTTTTGAGTCTCGTTTTTAAGTTAATATCCATAGTTTATTTAAATGTTAGAACAAATGGACATGGTAAAGGTTAATCCCATAATAGAGTCTTTTCTATTTATTGTTGCTTAGACACTAATTCATGAGTTATACTTTGAAATTTTTCACATCACACCAACATGGTTTGTGGGGAGTGAGATTGAAACACTTACTTTTAGTCTAAGTTTTATTTTAATTTTTGTTCTAAATAAAGTTTAGTATGTGTTATGAATACAGTAATAATTGTTCCACCCGAGGCTTTGCCTAGTAACCAGGTCAGTCCTGTCTGATCAATAGTGATTCTCGCGTCAAACGATAGAGTCTTGGCATGGGTCAGGGTGGTTAGTTAGTTTCGTAACCTTTTCAGCTTGAGTTAATAAGTCCTTAGGGATGTTCTACACCTAGTGCCCTAAAGCCTTTGTGGTTTGGGAGTCATTGACCTAAAGCTCGCTACACGGGTTGGATCAAAAGCTTAAGTGAACTAACATTGCACGACCACTACTGTTACTGAAAAAAAAAAAAAAAAAAAAAAAAAAGAGAAAAATCGAAAAGAAGAATGAAAAAAAAAAGAAGCTATCTTTAAAGTTAGTATGAGTGAAATAAAGAAGGACGAAAGGTAGAGGTTTTAGTCGAGTCTCCTTAGCCATGTTGGTTCACTTTACACCAAAGGAAGTTCATGAATTCTTTTCTAATTGAACCAAAGGAAGTTCATGAATTCTTTTCTAATTGATTCTAAATGGCTTAGACTCTGTGGTGGGATTTGTTGGAACTTTTGGAAAGATGTTTTAATTTTTAACGTTTTCTATGGATTGCAACTTGAAGATGAAAATATTGTCTTAGTTGAGTTCTAGTTAAGCTTCTAGTTTGTTAGTTTTTATCTTTGTTTTTTAGTTTTGTTTTGCTTGAGGACACGCAAAAAGCTAAGTTTGGGGGTATTTTGATGAGTCCATATTATATCATATATTTTACCCTAATCTTAGTATTAATTTATTAGTTATTTTGGTAGAATTTTGATACTCTGTTATGTATTTTCAATGTAGGACATTCAACTTCCTCTGGAGCAAAAAGTGATCAAACAGATGAATTTTGGAGTGATTCTTATTGGAGGATGTTCGTGAGTCTTTCAAGATGATTGTATCAAAATTCCATATTTTTCCACCAAGCCGTTTGACCATCATAATGAAATTAAGGCTCAACGCGCAGCTTTCCCAAATTGACGTTTTTTGGACATCCTCAACTTTCAAAAGAGACCTTTTGGGACCAAATCAGAGTTGATTTGCTCAGTCAAAAGTGTGATTTTCTGAGAACTCCGAATTCTAGTTCAAATAGAAAACCTTTTATTTTCTGTTTTATTATTTAATTATATTTCCTAGTTTTACTCTAAGACTTTTTACCTGTTAGCCATTAGGGTTCTCTACGCAACATTAGGGGAGAACGCAATACTTTGGCTTTAGAGAGCCTTGACGATTCAAGTTTATTATCAAGGTGTTTTCTATCCTTTTTCTATTTTTATAATATTTTGTTTTATGGTTGTTAGTAACTAGTTTCGTTTGCTAGGGCGATGCCTTGAGCCTTAGCAAGAATATGTAGTCTCTTTTTAATTGCTTATGAATTTATGCATGCAAGTTTTGGATTGTTAATCACTGTGCTTTAAACTATCTATTTGTCTTTGTGATTCGCGAACATTAGGATATTTAGAAAAGTAATTTGATGCAATTTTGGCGGAGAGCTGTCCCTAAAATTGACTAAGGCTTCTTGTGGTTAACATGTGTAACTATTTAGGATGGACGACACATCTTAGGAGTTATATGGTTTTTCAAAAGGTTTTCACAAAACTTAATGAGTCTTGCATGTTCAAATTCAATCTGGACGCCATGGACGGGTTGCATGTTAGATATACGTTCTATGTTGGGGATTCCAAGTAGGGCATACTTTAGGAAAACCTAACCTTCGAAATATGCATGTGTAATTCATAAGGAATTAGAAGAACTACGTAGGATTGTAAAGGGGACGGCAGAACCCTAGGCTTTTACAATTTGGTTTTCAAAACTATTTTCCTTTGTTTTCTTTTCTTTGCCAATTTATTTAATTATTTTTAATTAAATTCGTTTTTATTATTTTTAAATTCAAAATCAATCTCTTCCAATCTTTGTTTTCAAATAATTAATTAAGATTTGATATTTACACAAATTATTCATTCAATCCCTGCGGAATTGAGCCGTATATACTACAACTACCTTGTTCTCTTGCAAGTATTTTTAAGTGTTTTTATCCCTACTTTTGCAGGTGGTAAAATTCCTATCAATAGCTATTCCTCACAGGTTTTTTCCAATCTAAGGAAGAAAAGGGAAAGAAAGACATCTTCGAAACTTTTCCAAAGTTGCAAGTTAATATCCCGATTCTTGGTACAATAAAGCAAGTTCCAGAATGTGCTGAATTTTTTAAAGAGCTTTGTACAACAAGACGAATTCAAGATAAAGAAGTGGCTAAGGAATATCTAGAATTCATCAAAGAGGATGTACTTGAGTCAACCATCGACAAAGAAGTTGGATTTTATAACACAGGAAAAGTCACTACCCTCACACCAAATCTGGCGAAGTGCAACATTCCTGAAATTTTTGAAGAAGTGTTTGTCCTTGAGTTCTTGTTACAGCACATAGGTAAGCCACCTCCTCAAATTTCAATTTTGTTTTCTACTAACATGTTGATTTCAATAATTCAGGCACCCACTCTAGAATTTAAACTATTACCGGATCCTTTCAAGTATCACCTTCCATTCAAAGATCAACTCTATGCCGCTGGTCTTAGTGAGGATTAAATGGAGGCATCGGCCGACTAGAAGACGTTAAAGCTTGCGAGGCAACCCATGTGTCCAAATAAAAAGACATTGAAATTTTTGGCTCTTACAACCAGATTTGCTCTCTTTTACTCTTCTCTTTATTGTTTTTACTTTGCTATGATTGTCTTATTTGCTAGTTATCTTTTGTTGCTTTCTTGTTTAAGTTTATTTTTGAAACATTGAGGACAATGTTTGGTTTAAGTGTGGGGGGGGGGGGGGTAAACATAATGCTTTTCATGATTTCTCTCCAAATTTCACCACCTATCACTACTAATGTTGTTATTCACTATTTTAAAGTGTTTTATTGTGTGTCATATACAAAATTTTGAAAAAAAAAAAATCGAAAAAGCTTGTGAAAAAAAAAACCAAAAAGAGTCATTTTTGTTGCTTGTTTGTGTCTTAGGGTACCTTCCAACACAATGATGAGGATTTGGTTTTTAATTGCATGACTGTTAAAGAAAGTTACAAACATGGGTGGAAGTTTGATATGCTCTTTGGTAAATACTTAGTTGTAGTTGTCATTTACGAATTCACTTGTAATCATAAAGGAAAAAAAAATCAGTTTTTGTGACATTCTTGAAGGAAGAAACTCAAACTAACGCTACAACCCTGTGATACTTGAGCCTATTCTTTGTTTGGCGAGTTAATAATATGTGATATTCTTGTTTTCTAAGTCGTTGCATGATCTCATTATTTCTTTGCTTGGTTGCTACTTAGAATGCTTTTTCATCATTTTAGTTCCACATACTGGAACTCATGTCTATTTCATTCAAAGCATAAAATTGATTGCATAACAAATAACAAGATGAAGTTGTTTAGTTATCACCAGAGCCAAAAAGCCTTAGCCCTTGGATATGTATTGTAGTTTTAACCCCTTTGAGCCTTATTTAGCCTATTTTTTTGTTAGCCTGTATTATCCCTACTTAGCCTAGTATAGGAATATCCATACCCTTGTTCTTAAAGAATAGTGAGGGATGACTTGTTGGGAATTCCTTTTTATTTACGATTTGCAGAAAAACAAGTGTGGGGGAAGGATTTGTTCTTTTGAATCCGGTGAAGTAGTGTTTATGTTTTATGTTTCAAAAGAAAAAAAAGAAAAATAAAGTTGAGAAAAAAAGGGAAAAAAGTTGAAAAGAAGTGAGAATGCGTTCATATGTGTTAGTTGCTGAAGATGAAGGAAGATTTGTGAAAAACATGTTCATTTAAGCAACATCAATAGCATGCAATTAACAATTAAAGGCGGAATCATGCTTGTATGCACTTAAAAACAAAACATTTACCCATGAAATTCAAAGCCTAGTAGATAGGTGAACCAAGACTCAACTCAAAACAAAGTGAGTTGAGAAATCAATACCTTTGTAGATTCCTCTTTGCATAAGCAAAGGCTAATCACCCAAAGAGAGGGCCTTCATTCCTTGCATCTTAGATCCATGGATTTGGATGGATGAAAAGGTTTCTCCAAGTTCCCAAAATTGAGAACCTCTAATGATTCATCACCAAGGCATAATGAAGAAGAAATGAGTGACCTTGGAGGAGTTTGATTGCTAGATGATCCCTCCAAGGTGGCCTAAATTTTAGAGAGAAAGGAGAGCTTGTGTTCTCATCCTTTCCCCAAAAATTACCATATATAAATTTTAGGCTATAAAGTCCTTTATATAGTCCCTTCAAATAAGTGACCTAATGGACCAAAAGCCCTATTCTTCTAACATGG